ATTATATATATATAAATTTATATATAAATATAAACATCCATACATACAATTATATATATATATATTGTCAAGCGTAAAAATATCTGAATTTGCATTCCTGATCTTTGCTACACCTATGGATATAGTGAGAAGTCGGCTAAAAATCATTTCAGAGAGAAGTCGCTCTTCAAGGAGAAGTCTCAGGAGATTACAGCGCGACTGCGGAGATCACTGGTGCCCTCTCGCTATCGCAGTACTAGCCTGACCACCACCGCGAAACGCGAGAAGCTGAATGAGCTGTGCAGAAAATTCAACGGCAAACAGCTGGGTGGCGTGACCGCTAGATTCGACCCTGCATCGAGTGTAAGGGAATTAACGAAATGTTGGTGAATATTTGCGCCATATGTTGTCTACGGCTTTTTCTATTGTGCTTATATACGTCTTCTGATATGTTTCCGTAGACTTGTTGTTGTATTTCGTATTTCCAAACATGAGCTGTCCTACACGTCTGCGTATTTGAAGACATACCCACACACACGCACGGAGTACTCAGATGTGTATTTATAGTTGCGCACACATTTTTGTTCTTCTTATTCTTATTCTTATTATTATTATTATTATTCATATCCATCTAAATTCTACCGGGCCAGTACACTATATATGTTTGGCACTTCGCTATTTGAATAAATACATCTGAGTATCGTTGTGAGTGTAGAAATTAGTTTGAATATGTTTACGTATTTAGGCCAGACTACTTGATTTACACCACTGTTTTTAACGTGTGGTTGAAAATGGTAATATACGCAGTTGTGAGCTTAATGCCCTTGCGGGTCTTTTTTATATGCATTTATATTCTTGTTTCTGCTGATATAATTATGCTAACATCTGATATATATCCAGGTGTAGATAAACACATGCACAGTATTGTCTATCCCTTTAACATCTCCTTTTGATGCTTCCTTGTTGTGTTACTTCTGACAGGGTCGATACTTGCTGAGTTTTTGCATCTGCAAACAAGTGATAGTGACAGTAGACATCGAGAGAACTGAGTTCAAGTCGAAACACACAATGACGAAACATACGACAGGTAGGCTGAGAGCATGCTGCTGTCTAGAATACAGTGGTCGCTCGCTTGTGCATGGTCGATCTGTTCATTTGCCATACAGCTGTGATGCTTGCTTTATTCGGTGCTCTTGTTTTGATCAATTGCAATGTACGCGTCGTTGCCAGTTATTGTGCATGGGCGTGCACTGCCACTGAGCCTTCACTATTGCGTATTGTTGCTTATGAAACTAATTTCTAAAATTACAAATCCCATTGTAGCACCAGACCTAAAATAACAAATCCCATTGTAGCACCAGACCTAAAATTACAAATCCCATTTTAGTACCAGACCTAAAATTACAAATCCCATTGTAGCACCAGACCTAAAATTACAAATCCCATTGTAGCACCAGACCTAAAGACCAAGCGAACTGAGGGCTCATCCGATTTGCAAGTTCTGAAACGTGGCAGAGAACGCTCTCTGCTGGACATCCGGTAGGTGGTGCGAATGCCCCCGGCTGTTTCCGCTGCGCCTCACACAACACTTGCTATCCGATTAGTTTGACTATGTGCCATTCTCCTTCTGACACGGCTGTTTCGGCGGTAGTATGATGGAGGACATTGCCCGCACAGCCTCGCACATGATTCTTGTGTCATACTTCCTTTTTGGTCCCCCTATTGGAGCGTATCTATCTCGTGATCTTTGTGTAGTCTCATTTGATTGTTGCTTCCCACATTGTATGTACACACTACAGGCAGGTGTGTTGCGCTTCTAGTTTGTTAAGTGTACTTCACTTGACAAATAGGTTTGATATTTATCTGGATAGATCTCAACATCAGAGTGGCTGGTACGTCTCTGTGTGCCAGATAAAATGACCTTTGAGATTAATATACGTTGATCAGCTATTGGCGTGATAACGCCTTGATCATCTTCGAGCAATTGTCACTGTAGTAAAATGTCTTGTTTTCTGTTACCGGTATATATCCTAACGTCACGAGTCTATCTGCTGTTGATATAGAACATCGATAGATGACAAAACGGGCAGCTCAACTGGAGTGCGATACACCAATGTGGAGATGATCTTCTTCAACGATGCGCTGCTGCTGGTTCAGTACACCAGCCGTGAATGCCTGCCCATCTGCCCGCCCTTGTTCCTGAATTCTTTGGTGGTCACCGAAAGCCCCGACACAGTGCACCACAGCCACCGCAAACTGGACCTCATCCATGGCGACAGCCGACTGACTGTGAAGGTACAGTGGGGTTTGTATCGCGTATTAGGTGTTTCTGCGGGTTGTAGTAAGCTCAACGTCTTTGACTGAGTTATTTGTCTGAGTGTCTCTGAGCAGTGGTGCGTGTGAGTATTCTAGCCGGCCTTGCAATTAGTGTGATGTGCATATCCGCAAATTGTGGTTCAGGGGCGATAGAGCGTCTGTCCCGCACAGGACAGCAATAGCCATTGACGTGTCTATAGCACAGATGTCGGCATATGTTAATGCGCATGCGATACTACTGGGCATCTTGGCCCAATTAATTGAAGTTATAATCAAATTAGCATATCCAAAAATGTCTATCGCAGACAAATGGGCCTATTTTGCACTCACTGATTGTTTCCATGCAATACCTTCCTTCAATTGCGGCCTCGTGTGCCACTTGCGCTAAATTGATGATCGACTGCCCCGTCTCATGTCTTCGTTTCCTTTCACCTGTTCTTATTTCTGTGTACCCGTTTGTGTCTCGAATGCACCCATGTTTCGCTGTATGACACTGCGTATGTGTAATTGTGTGTGTTGCTGTTTGTATCACTGTATGTGTCGCTTGTACGCGACTGTGTATGTGTTGGTGTTTGTGCTACTGTGTGTGAATGTGTATCACAATGTCTGTGTATGTGATTACTGTATTTGCTGCACGTGTTGTGTGCTGTGCAGACCAACAGTGAGGTCATGCGGGATGCGTGGGTGAAGCAGATTCAGGGGGCGCTGGAGTGGGCGTTAGAGTGCGACAGCTACACCGTCACGCTGGGAGGAGCAGAGGACAATGTGTGCACACGCGTCACAGACACACCCTTTCCCGAAACACGCACCAGTCTGACGGACGCCAATGCCATGTTTCACCTGGGCGTGCCCATGGATGCACCCGACGGCTACACTGGCGCCTATGACAATGGGCTGTTCCATCCACCACACACACTCTCCGACAACGAACTCAAGTCAACCAGTTCAGGCAGTCTCCCACACTCCCGCAGACAATCCCAAATATCCATGAGTACTGGCAGTAAGAGCTCACTCACGCGACCACGCGCAAACACCAGTGGCAGTGCACGCTCCAGTGGGGCCAGCGTCAGAGATACCATTGACGCCTTGAAAAAACCAAGCCTCAATGTCAGAATTGCCGCGTCCACGATAAGTGTCGAACCAATGTTACCCTCCTTGCCGACGACATCTAGTGACCCGGATATAGCTAAGGGGCGGTAGGTTTCTCTGAACTCATCTAGTCTGACTATCTTACCCATCATTTTTGTAGATATGTATATGATATTCATTCTGGTTGCCTATATATAT